CTTGATTCCCTAATGGCATGCTCCCATAATCTGTTGTGATAGGGGACCCTGTTTGAGGAAGTAACAGTCAAGTGGAAGTTGTGCCTGTCCAAGAGAGATGCAATTCATGTTGGACGAGAATATTTTTAGCTGCTTACCACATATTCAGGACTCTATGATACCAGAACCCACAACAACCCTAACCCACCTGACCTACAGACATAACCACTTAGACACCTCCCTATTTTTGAAACGTACTATGGCTGGGCCTAGTGTTTCAACGACCTCCGCAGCAACCTTTAGTGCTTGGGAAACATGTATTAGTTTGCCCACTTCAATACCTCCTCAAACCAATCCCTAAGGATACCAGACCTAACTGGTTTCTCATACACCACAACACTACGATGGGATTACTCCATCACATTCTTGTAACTAAACTAGGGACTTTGTAAATACTTGGAACTCTAGCATGGTCTTGGTAGTGCAAATTTTACCGATTGCACCTTCCTTGGGGAGTAGTGAGTTTTACCACTATCGGCGAGGGGACTTTTACTATTTGGACACCTCAACCGAGTTATATATAAATCTTAATGATAGAAATTTAGTTGATATCATAGTAAGTCTTTTACAGAATATACATCGTCGGTACTAATACCAAACCATGAAAAGTATACACATCGCAACACCAACACCTCTCTCAATCTCTATCATCTCATTTCACCGGCATCATGTATTAGCACCGCTCTAAGAATGGCCCCCACTTCACCCCCCGCGCCTACAGACCCCTTCACCACCCTTCTCATTCCATAATCTTACCCCCACCATCCCATTCTCCTAGTTCTAAATTCTCCCAAATCTCACCACTTGACCGTGCCCATTGACCATCGTCGTCGCCATCACCATGGCCCCGGAACCCAGAAAAATCCACCCCCGAATCCCCCGGGGGTTCAAGCATCACTTGGTCATCACCAATAAACATCCACTGTGGCGACCCGTCTGTCCTCCGCCGGCCAGCATAGAGTAGTTCTCCGGGAGAGAGTGGATAAAGACTAACCGCCAGGATCAGAAGTGTCAAGAACGGTGCTATAAACGGTGTTGAAGGTGGGATCGGCGAGGTGGTCAGGAGGAGGAGCAGACCGTTGTTGTTGTTGTTTCTGTGATTTCTAGGAATAACGGTAAATCGGGGAGCGGTCCCTAGAATTGAGGGTTGAAAGGGGGAGAAGTGGTTTGGTCTTGATAGAAACCTGTCAGTTACTTATAGACGGAAGAATCGGGGGGGGGGGGGGTAAAAGTACCGAATTCCCCATGGGATAGGTATTCTCGGGAAACTTTTGAGAGTTATTATCCATCTCAGTCCGCGCTTACTGCGAGCAGAGGGCGTGGTTAAGGTATCAGTTGCAGTGTCTATCACTTGCGCCGCCGATTCTTCCTCCTCCTTTTCGCCCCTCGAATGCACAAAACCGGCAGATTCAGAATTTTCCACATCCCCAACAAGCCTCAGCACACCCCATCTCCTGTCCATAGCTATTTCATGTGCTTTTCTACCAGCGGATCCTTTGGATAAATATGCCCGATGGGCACAGGAAGTACAAGTACTCTACTCTAACACTTCCCTCCCCCCGTGCGCTCCTATTAAACACCCCGAGAGCCGCAAAACATCCAGCCACGGCTTCCTAGTAATTCTCTTCAGCCCCATTGATACCTAAAAGTGGGAATTGAAGCGCCTGTCTTTCCAAGCTAGTACCCGGACATTACAAAAGGCCTGAGCGGGGATGTGCATGCTTCTGGAATCAGTGGATGTGACTCAAGCACTGAGAGGGGTTGCCTCCCCCGATTGGTTGGGTGCTAGTTCGCGCGTACGGCGTGTATGTTTCAGGGATCACTGGATGAGCTGGCAATGGGAATACGATAGGCAACACTCGCAGAGCCTCAAATAAAATACCGACCCCACTATCGCGGCGAATCTAGTGGAGCAATTGTATTCCAATGGGCATGGGTCTCTTTCGACAAAGTGGTGAGACTTGAAACCTCTAATTAATTTTCAACCCTAACAGGGGTTGGGAGTAGATGGCCAACAAAGGTTTCTTGGTTCAGAAATGCGCCATCTATTAACCCCTCACTCTACGAGTACTGTAGATTCCAGGTAGACATCGATCAAGCAATAACGATCAACTTGTCACATGCCAGTGTCTTCAATTGGAGGGTGTGTGACTGAAACCTTAATGGTGGAGCAAGCCTATTAACTGGTAGTCCAAGGCCATAATGCGGCTATCCCGTTTATTTTACTACCCATTTCCATATCCACGCGCAATCCGTGGGCGGCGCAAGGTCATACGATTGATAAGAATTACTCGGGCTTGACCACCCACAAGTACAACGATAACCTCCCGTTCCGCTGCACGATTAGCCCCCCCCCCCCCCCAAATTTACGCCTAGCCCCCGGGATACCCTATCAACCGTGGAGGCGGAAGAATCCCCCTCCCTAAATTGGCGGAAGACCATGAAAAAGTTGCGTAAAAAAGGCAAGAAAGCTGCGCATAAGGGGTGTCAGGGTGGGTCTTATCCCTCCCAGCCATGGAAATCCCAAAACTTGAGTTCCTCCCGGCAACCGGAATAATCCCCGGTTTTCATGATCCGGCACTTTCGCCGCCCAAAAAACTTGTCTGTCCAGAAGAGAGCCGATCCAAAAGAAATGGTGGCACGGGAACGCCGAAGGAAGGTGAGAAAAGGAAATACTAACACCCAGTTCCGTAGAAACTGTGATAACCGAAGCAGATGCTTTGTACCATAGTCGAGAATTCCCTGCCCGGGAAAGTGGGCGAAAAACAGGGCAAAGAAAGAGCTGTTCAGCCCCTCTGGGAGACAAAAAAAAACACTGGGCCTCACTCGCGAGCAAATTAAGTTATGGTGCACATCAACGAAAAAAAAAACAGGAGAACCTAATAACGCCCATTGCACGCGGGTGCCAGAGGAGGCGACTCCGACGACATGGTGCAAGCTTCGATTATTAGTCTACAGTTTTTGTCATAGCCGTCCCGAAGTCAAGGTTTGTGAAACATCAGTCCTGGTAGGGGTTTTTTTCATTTCATGATTTTCTTGGAAGTGGCTTCTTCCTACCGTATTTCCCTTTTCTTGATTTTTTCCTATTTCCGACACCTCCCCTCCTATTACTCGTACTGTGTACTCGAGTACAGCAGCATTTATGCACAAAAGTCTGAGGGAGAAGGGTGACAGTGGAGGATGGTAGCGGAAGCGATAATTCTTTGCGCCGCGTAAACAATACTATCGCTTAACGATCCAGCACCTGAATGAATCTCTCGCCTATGTATTGGTTTTCTCTCTTTCCTTTCCTTCCTTTCACCCCGCTACTTGCTTCACACCTTACCCCTTCCACACAACTCTCACCAAGTTTGACCCCAGGTCACACTCTGTGCATCGCACATGCCGTATTCAGCTTCTCTCTTCTCTTCCATCCACCTCACTCTAAATCCTCTGCTCCGAGCGTTGCCATTCCACGCAACATTCCCACCCCCCTACAGACCTGCATCTTCCCTTTCCGCCTCTTGACATCTCCTCCGGGCCCGCCGTCCGAGCCAAAGACGGTCGTGCTGAGGTATCGCTGCCATGAATGGACTACTAAAGGCTGTCCACTCCTGTCCATAACTCTTGGAACCCCCCGTGCTAGACCCTGCGAAGCCCCCAGACAGTTAGGCGCACTGCCGGATGCTTTCTTTGTCTTTTCAACAAAGTCAGAGATATCTGTTGATTCCATTTCTCTTCTCTCTTCCATTCTTCGTTGTTTTCTTCTGTCCTACCTGCTGGGTTAGGGATGCATTACTCTTCCTAGAACATCTAGTTCGGGGAGCAAAACCCGAATCCTGGAGTCTCTTCATGGCCTCAAACTACAGCTTTGAGGAGCATTGGAGCATGACCCACCGGTCAGTCGAGCGATGCACACTGCAATAGCCCATAAATTAAACCAAGTGAATCAATAATATTTTCTGATCACGTATCCTTTTCCGATTTTCCCGGCCCCGATGACCCCGCCGATGAGAACGCAGAAAGGCTCACGTTACCGGCTTTGTGATTTACCCTATCCGGCTACTAATTTCAGTTTGCTTTGGTACCGTGATTATGGTGGTCTCCTATGCACCATCTGCCGTTATGACTCGCATATTCTTTAGCATCCCTCAAGCGTCAACGGGATTGCTTGCCAACATCTCTTCCATTCGTGCACGCCATCTTGGGTGGTGAAGGAACTGTTCTGTCCTCCAAAAATGGTAGCACAACTCCCACCGTATAATACTCAAACCCCAAAATCTCCCCTTCATTCCGAATCAGTTTCGTCGAGGAGACAAACTATTCTATTCAACCCTTACTCAAATAAACAGCGAGGCAAACCCTCCCGGATCTGTCCCAGAGCCCGTATCAAGCGATCTGAAGCCAGAACTAACAGCCAAGAGATCAATTCGGTCAGTGTCCACCAAAAAGAAATACCACAAGTTCCAAAAACTTATCATAGAATCAAGTATTATAGGATTAAGTATTAGGAGTGCGATCAAGGGCCAGGTGGGGGAGAATGTTAAAAAAAGGCCCACTTGAATTTTGAAATAACCAACCTCGGTGGAACCACCTAACTAAGAGGAAAAAAACATAATAACTCCCACAAAATCCAAATATCCTCTCTACACTATACAATATAGGAAACGTGGTACGCGGCATAAAGCCAAAAGCCATTTTAGGCCCACAGGATATGTCCGAAGTTTTGTTCCTCCCTTTCTCAGTCCGAAAGGCCATCGAGTGACGACCTGTGAGTGCTAGAGCCAAATCCAACGGCAAGATAAACTAAACCAGATGGAATCCCATCCCATATGATGTCTAAGACTCTCAATTCGCCCGAAGCACCATACTCCCCCAAACGCATGGTACCCATAACAAGAAGGAATAGCCAGTAAGAGAGCAACTGCAACCCCCCCCCCCAATACAAACCAGTTCTCCCAGCAACCTAACAGACAAGAGTGTCATTTAATGTGGCAGGTCTCGTTTATGTTTAATCCTCCCATACCAGCCGATAGGATCATGAACCAGGTCCTACTTGTCCCGCCATCGATCATAGTGTCATCAAAGACCCGGCTGTTGAAAAACTCCCAGGAACGTTTAGGGTCAAATATCGCCCGATTGGCTTCAATTATTCCGGCCCAGACTTTGTCCGCTCCTGATTTACCGTAGTGTAGACCCTTGGAGAAATAGGTCTGGTACTCAAGTTCGCAAAACTCGGCAGAGCGGATATATGGTGACATAGCAGTCACTGGAATCATATGGATGCTTGGGTTGGATTAGAAGTGACCATCAAGCAACGATCCTTGGGGGTAACTTACCCTTGGATATATTCCTTATACGATCCAAAGTAAGTTTTGTGGTCGGCCTTACTTTCAGCCAGAATACCAGTCACTAGGTTGCCCACGAACTCCTTCGGATGATTCTGATTTCCCTTCGACATAAGCATGTACTCATTGGTGGATACCTTGAGAATTCCGAGCATCAAATTAGCACGGGCGATCATCGACCGATCGTCGATGGCAATTCCCCAGAGCTTCTGTGCGTATAATGAATTCAAATCCTCGGAAGAGGACTCCTCGTCTTTCGAATCCCCACAGCTCAAGAGTCCCCTTGCCCACGAATGACCATGGTACCAATCAAAGTTACGAAATACAGGGAAATATCGGTCTTCTTTGGACGGATTGGCGTACTGTGCCCAGTCAATATCGAAACATCAAAATATCAATAAGTTGAACACACGTCTCGGAGCAGGCTGTTCACCCATTCACGGTTCCCCCGGAACCAAGTATTAGAATTACCAAGATCTTTATCGAGTTGGACGATTAAAGCTGCAGCTTGGATGTGGTAAGAATAGTGGAAATGGTGGTCATTATAGAGATAGTTTCCGAAATCTATATCTCCGCTTGGTTCTGCTCCCTCAAAAGCCCGGATGGAAACAATCCCTCCCCACGTGGCTAGAGAGTGGTGAGAAAACTTCTGAATGCACGGGGGTCATATGACAACTCACTATCATAGACCATTTTATTTTTCTGCCTATTTTCAGCGAACAATGCAAAGTCATTCTTGAGCCTAGAAAGGCAAAGTCGTGTGAGGCCAGGGTCCTTTAAAACATGCAGAGTTGAGTAACAAAGAAACGCGTATTTCGCATATGCCTAATGAAATCAGTGGAGTTTTAAATGAGGTAGGAAAATTCATACCTTTCCTGAAAAGTACATGCTCGGGTTGGCATGTGTTTGCAAAGTGAGATTCTGTCCCACTTCAATTCGAGCAACTGTATGGATCTGTTGGAGAACATCGGGGGGGAAAGATGCACACCCTTCTTGTCCGAGTGGAAGCCAGCCAATCTCCACAGGCAATGACTCAACTTTCAACCGCCATGTATCAGCAATGACTCCATACATCATGCCATTGGCTGGGCTCGGAAGTTTAAAAACTCTGTGAATATTTGCCACTGTGGAGTTGTGAAATGTCTTGACGTGATGTGGCAAAGCATACATCAACTTCACCCAGTTAGCAGGAACTCGGCTAGTATTGAACAAATAGGAAACATATACTTACAAGAGGTGATTTTCGCTGGCCAGCACGCTTGAATCGCATCTGATATTCTCCGCTATCGGCATAGGGCCCAGTAATTTGTGCATTGATTTCTACTCCGGCACAATAGCTTCCGGTAGTGTAGTCGAGGAGGGCCTCCCTCCCTGCGTGTCCCCGATTATCCAGTGACAGATGGGCCACTTGCAACAAACCGGTGAAAAGATATCGTGCTTCTAGACGAGTGGTTCCTACAGATTGGAGACGGAAAGGGGTAGATTTGGCCTCTTCGATAGAGCGGTGGTGGGCGTACACGAGCCAGGAGTCGGCATCATCTGCGAAGCGTATAATATACTTCGTAATCAATTCGTTGCCCGACGGCAGCTGCCTAATATCTTCAACGGCCACGATAGAAGATATACTAGTACATAGTTAACGCGGAGTCCATGGGCAATAGGGAGTCTGACACATACACTGGAGTCAATTCATGATACTCTGCACTCACGAACCCCATGCCATTGCAAATCGGTATGTCGATTATCTTCGTGGCATTTCCTTCGTCCGGAATACCAGTATTATATCCGTTCGCGTCAGCGTATATGCGAACCCTCGCACTTTGGCCAGCAGGATCAAAGACTCTAATATCCGAAACACCCTTTCTAAGTTCCGTTGAACCAAGGATGATTCTCGGGTTGAAAGCGTTGGAATAGAATTCGACAGCACCACCAGGCCCGTTTTTTGGACCGAACTTCCTTTTGGTAAGATCAATAGTGTCAGCTGCCAATCCCAAAAGACCTTTTCGGGTTCCATTCATCCATGCAAGGTTATATGGCATGGGGAATATGGGCTGGTGGCGGTGTCCAAGAAAGAAGTTCGTATAGAATTTCTGCAAAACACCGAATTAGTTCATGGTCAGTAGCAATGCAATGGTATCGGCTGACGCACATTTGTGTGGATGGTACTTGACCTCCCTCTAACAACATGTGTGGCATTCTCGGCGTGTCCATGCATTACCGGGAATCTTACGGCTGGGGACCGGGTTGAGATTGGTGGGAATAAATCTAGATAAGACCATTGTGAGGTCCCACCTTCTTGGAGTACCCTCTCCCAGTATGTTCGTATCTTTCTCTTTGGTGCTCCCCCAACTCTAAGGGTATAGCTGAGTAGCTTCCGGTACCGAAGCAATGATTTCCTTGGTTTGCTTCTAGGTATAGTGGCCTTTGAAAACGGGATGCCGGTTTCTCTGATAATCTCGGTGGTCAGGTATATCTTGGTAGGTACCTCCTCAAGCGCACTAGCTGTAAATGTAACAGCAGGAGGTAGAGGCGCAAGAGCGGGATGCCCTCCATGCCCATCCGCACTTGTGGTGGCGGTCCTAATTTCTAACGTTGTTTCTAGATGAGATGGGCTACAAAAAAGCTGTTAGAAGAGATTTTGGAAGATTAATGGGAGAACCAATTTTGATACTAACATTTGAATTTTCTCCTCGATTGTCGTCATTATGGAAATTGGTTGAGAAGACTGAGATAGCACCGGGTGTGTGGAAATAGGGCCCGCCGAAGCTATAGCTACCGAGTTTACTAGCAAAGCTGCAGCTGATAGCATCTTTCCCCTCATATTGGACCGGAAGAATGTCGTGAGTTTTTAACGGTCAGTAGTTCTCCCACAAAACACCTACGAAGGGGCACAAATTCCTATTAGTTTAAGTTAACAGCAGAGCAAGGGCGACGTCTCAGAGTCTCAGAAAGAAGGAAATTTTGCCGCCAACCCCCGGAGGAAGTGTCTCCTATTTGTACCGTACCATTTTTATCACTATGAGTGAGATTAAGAAATTGGGAAAACCCATAGAAGGAATTCCTACAGATGGAAAGAAAATGACATAACCCAATCAAGAGAAAGAAACACCTCCTCTGCCCAAGCAAATCAGACATTCGATACGAGTGACGAACCTACCATACCCCCATCCACCCGCTGCAATGGTATTCTTACTACCAAAAAAATATTACGAAGGAACTCACCTGCCCCGAGCATAAAACTAAAAACAGTAACCCAGAGTTTACTCAATCACAACATAATAGCTTCGTGCATGCAGAATAACACCAAATTGTGACAGGAATATTTGAGGCTTGTGGTATCTATTAGTTTAGAGGGTGGTGAAGGAAGGACTGGAAAAGAGGGAAACCCAATGTCACGCCAGGCCTCCCGATGAGAATAAGCCTCCAGGTACCGAGTACAACAGATCTAAGGGATGTTAGCCGCGACGAATCAATTCACTCCACACAAGGCCTCAAAAATCTCCAGTCAGACCCGACTTATTCATCCAGGGCGGGATGGGTCATATTGTGGTCATCATCCATCACTCGAATTCGACAATATTAAGGCGGCGTGTTGAGATATCTAACAACTCAGTATATTAGAGCATGTTCCCCTAGAGTGTGTTTATCACAAACTCTCAGTTAGGATAGCAACACTGGCAACCCACAACCGGGCACAAGGGATCAGATCCGACGAGATAGAATCTCTTTATGCCAATCGGTTTTACACCCTCACCCGACATTCACGACCATTCCCCGCCTCCCTGATACGCCCGTTCTATAAGCCATTTCTCGGTGCCACCCGCTCAGGGGTGAGGAGTGAAGCGCACCCCCCAACCGGACAACCGAGCGAGTATCCTCATGGAGAGAATTTTTACATACACCCCTTATAGGGCGATCATTGGCTGATAGCTCCCTCAAACAACACAGGATTCTTCCCATTATCCAAAATTCAGCACTACAATATTGTCCCTCGCTTCGAGCTTCGTATATCGGCATTAGCCTAGCACCGAACGCTCCACAGAGTCATCGACCTATCATCAAATGTTAAATACTGGCGATCTCTTCTGAAGGCCGTTAAAAATAGTCCCTACATCGCAGTATAATACTTTACTCTCCGATCTACGCTAACTCAGCAGGATGTGGTTGCGCTTTAGTCACGCACTCCGCAGCCTACAGGTACCAACTCCTTGTCTCTAGGAGTCTCGCCAAGCCGGTTCAGATCTAGGATGTGTACTGTACTGGACTACTGTACGGTTCAAAGGGCCCATTGCACATGGCGAGACACCAGGTTCACCCTGCAACCACTGCTGGCCTGGCAAGTTCTAAACTAGGTACAGTTTACTACCGTACCTTACCTAGATGTGAGCCAGAAGGGACGGCTTCCCTAGCTTGGAAGTCGTCCTACCTAAATTTCCATAAGTGCTGGACATTAACAAAGTCCCAATCCCTCCCTCAACGGCACCCAATTTCCTAGCGTCGGGAGCAATGCAAGTCTTCACCCCATGTGTTAGCCCCAGGGGACCTGGCCGCTTGTACCTTAACACCACCCACCCAGCGATTCCCTTGATCTGCAGAATGCGCACCCCCAGGGTCCCCCAGTCAAGTTACACAAGAAGAAGACTCCGACGATACACCGCCCCCAAGTGACTCGGGGAACAATGACCCGAAGAAACCGACGCCCAAAAATTTCCCTCTTCCGCTTCCACTGGAACATGCTCACCTCTACGAACCTACCCCCCTGTCAAATCAAACTATTTACAGCTCGGGATTAACTCCCGCAGAAAATCCTAGTTCCCGTGGTAACTAAACCTTAATTCACCGATCCCTGCCCAGTAATTGGGACCCGAGAGAGAGTGGACAAGCGCGGTTATTTTCGTCTAGCGCAGCGACCGGAACAATAGGTGCTAAGATCTTAGTCTCTGGTATCATACATGTATGATATCCAAATGATCTAAGCGTCATAGTATGGCTTAACTTAGCCCGTGTCTAATGATACTTGTACGTCTCGTGACCATGGCCGGTGGAGTAGCGGTGCAACCAGCCAAATATTGAAGGAAGCTGGAACAGTACGAAAAGCACCAAAATGGTCCGCATAAGAAAGATACAGGTTCCACGAACAATTGTGGTACGGTGAAGGGCACGTAGGTCCCAAGTATCTTACCCGAGTGAGGCTCATGGAATTTCCAAACTTTTAATAACATGAATACAGGGTGGATCAGTGTTGGGTTAATTGCAGTGCCTTCCCCACGCGGGAGCAGGAAAATAAATGCCCGGCAGAGACAATTCAGGTCCAGTAGTGGTACAGTACTCGAGTACGGGTGCGGCCGATAGATATATTTGTCGCATGGGTCTGATAAGAGGTTTTTGGCGAGGCTTTCTCACCAAAACCTTTCCATCAGACTCATATGACAAATATACCAATCGGCCGCACTCGTACCTCGAAGGTTGGCTACCGCCCAGGGAGCTCTAGGGACCCCTACTTACTCACTCTCGAGCCCTTCTAGAAACAAATTTAGATTCCTCTCACATACCGGTATGATAGCTGCTTCGTGAGGTAGGTTCCGGATTGCTCCATCCCAGGCAGCCGCTCAAACCAAAAATGTCCGGAACTTCTAGGGGGGCGTTCACTGTAGCTCCAAACCGCGGTTTGGCAACCAAACTTCTAAACTGACCAATCATGGCTGAAGCCTACTTATATAACCCATTCCCTAATAACTACTGAAGCTATCATACCTTAAACGCCGCTCCATACAGTCCCTTAGTCTACTACATCTCTATGATGCAAGTGCAGTACCGTACTGTACTGTACAATACCACACACTAAAGACTGTCGTCAAGAATTGTTGGGATTACAAGTATGATACCATGATAAGTTTATTAATAACCCAAAATAAAATTCAGAAACCGAAATCACCTAATCCTACTCTCCGATTCTACCCCTCTAATTTCCTTCGCCCACTCTCCGATATATTTTTCTAATTTTACCCCTAAATCATGGAAATACCACCCACGATCCGTCTCGTCATCCCAAACCCTCTACTCGTACTCGCTGCTCCACTCCCAATTTATGATACCCGCTACACGACCCCAGGACCCTAGAGTAAAAGCCAGCGGAGCACCTTACCAGGAAAATATTCCCCCACTGTAAACCCCGTACATCACCCACTACTCCATGAGAATCGCAGTCTTGGACGAGAGCGGACGATGATCTCCCACTTCAATAGAGAAAACAATTCTCACGTAGACAGATAGCCATCAAAAGTGCGTCAAACCTTCTCACACGAGCATGGGAACACCCCCCTCCCCCCGGACGTCAATTACCGGTAATTTCCCGGAAAATGGTCTAGATATTCCCCGGCGGGGAATAAGCCGCGAGCGCCACACCTGACAGACCCACATACGAGTACAATCACCAAGCCGAATTTATTGGTGCCTGGAACGGTTTGTACCTTTTGTGTCGTGAGGAAAGGTATTCCACGCCGCCACTATCTATCACCACTATCTATCCGCGAGCCTGGGCAAAGTGATTGGTTGAGCCTCGGTTGCGATTCGAATCGTGGCTAGTATTGGGTGTAGGCTCGTTATGGCTTGGAATACCGTAGGGTATGGGTATGCAAAAGACGGGAATATGTCTGGAACGGTGGTATGGGATGCCCGGTTTTTTTTTGCGGATTTTGGTGTCTAGGAGTCTAACTAAGAGTGTTGGATCTGTGGCCCCGCAAGGTGAGTTGGTAGGGAACGCCCACCTTGGTTGGTGCCCGCGCAGTACCGTACTCGTTGGACGATATTATATTATGGAGCGGGCTGAGGTGGTGGTGAACCGGCAGCCAACATATATCATACGTGCAGCAGTTCAAGGAGATGAGAGTATTATAGATTAGAGTGAACCAACACCAAGCGTCACGATGCAAGGAAAAAAAAAAATATAGACAGAAAAACTCTGTAGCCCAAACATGAAAGAGTGAGGACCACCTGCACCCTTGTGTCTATGCTGCTCCCCGTCCACCGCAACTCCCCCCTTCGCCACACCCCCCATTCCCCTGGACAAACACAACAAGCACGGCCGAATACGCCGCAATAACCATTACAATCGCCTCCCCTCGGCCCCGCGTCCCCAGCGCGACCAGCACCGCCAACGCTATCGTGAAAACACTGATACAAACCAGCTTCCACGGGTCGCTCGTCAGGAACTGCAGGATAATCATAGGCCCTAGCATCAGCAGTGCCGTGGCAAGGGCAATCACCATCCTCGTGATTCTCCTGGTGAATGGGGAGAATATAGATGCTATGTCGCGCTGCGACATATTCCGCTCGCGCACGTCCTCGACGGAGGGGTTCCGGTGCGGGAATATCTGTGGGATAATCCTACCTACCAGTTTTTCCAGGGAGTCGCGCCCGCCGAGGCCCAGCGCGACGAGGTCGTCAGTGTTCTTGCCGAAGGGGTCGACAAGGGTTAGGGGTGGGGTGCTGGGGTCTTCCAATGCGGATAGGAGGTTGCTATCTGCGGCGCGGGGTGGGTCTAGGGAGGTGAAGATTTGTTCTTGGAGGAGTAGGGCTTCATCTTTGTTTTGCGTTAGTATCATAATATGTGAGGGCGGTCGGGAGATGCGGGGTTGGGGTACAGTAGTTTTTGAGAGTCTCTCTTAACCTCCTCATGAGTTTAAACCTCGTCTCTTTTAACTCTATCCCGACATTCTCACTCTCGCTTCCGGTATGCATCCACCTTGTTTCCTCCCTATCAACGCCTCCAAGTGCATGCTCGATCTCTGTGAGCTCGTGCTGGTAGTATAGTAGATTTGCCATGGATAGTCTCCCAAACCGCCGGAATATCGAAATGTGTCTGTACGCGTGCATGGACTGTGCGATGACGCGGTAGTCGAATACTAATCTCTCATAATGCGGATCCGGCTCATGGTTAGAGGTGGACCAAGAAAAGCTACTTGCAGTTGTGTTGTGGAGACTGGATTTTGTGTCATGGCAGTGGTGATGGTGAGAGTGGTGGTGAGGGTGGAGGTGTGAGTGGTGGCAGTGGTGGGAGTGGTGGTCGGCGTGGTCCCCGGGTTGGGTGCGGGGTTCTTCGTCTCCTGGAACGAGGGTTGTGTGTCTGCCGGTGTTGAAACTCGGGCTCGAGCTTAGACTCATACTCGTCCCGGCATTGACTCCAAGTCCGGGTGTAGCCACCGGCACACCTACGCTACCAGCACTACTCAGACTCGGAACCGGACTCGGGTTCGTGCTCGAAGCATGCTGCGAGCCGGAACCCCCAGTAGAAACAGCATGAACGTTCGCGAGTGTAATGGTAGCCTGTGAATCGGCCGCCCCGGCTCCTCCTCCTCCCACCGTGCTTGCCGCTCCAGGCGGAAATGGACCCCTAGGCGACCGAGTCGTAGACCTGTAGCTCAAACTCCGAATAACACCCGGACGAAAGGGCTCCTCTGGCTCAGCGCCCTGCGTGCTCGTGCTACAGGTTGGCGTTGAACCACTTGCTATGGGCATTTTAAAAGATGTCTTGCATATAATGTGGTATTTCCTGGACCCTCATGGTGGTGGAATGTTTCCAAGTTTTAGGGAGTTTCTCGACCGCTATTGCACGGTTTCGCGCGTGATTGGTGGGCGGGTGTTCTAGTCACACTGGGTCATGCGGGGCTGCCGCGCGCATGCTGTGACTGATAGATCGCCATGACGTCCGGTGCCTGAGAATCGAAACATCATACGAACAGTCAGCCGGGAATTTCGGGCTGTATTGGTGCGGGGGGGACGATTGGGCGTGTGATGGAGAGGTGGCGATGGTTGGAGGGGAGTTTCCAGGCGTGGTGCTGGGAAGGTAACTTAAGACAGTTGATGATTATAGATGATGCTGTGATGAGGCGACTAGGTGAGAAGCGCACTGAGTCGGGTTCAATCGAATTTAGTATCCTGGTATCGCCGGGGTTCTGTGTTAAGCATATATATCGCCATGCAAGACGCCGAAATAATAGCCTTCTGGTTGCCTTTCTCAAGCGACAAGTTTCACCAAGTCTTACTCCAAGACCGGTAGGGTAACTCGAAATTCTAGCAATAGTAAGAAAGAGTTGACGAAAGCAAGAGCGACCAGATGACGAGAAATACTCACTCTGGTAATACCCACTCTGGTGTATGCGTGATAGAGTATCATGTCATTGTCACAAGGCCGACAGGGATCAGAGACAAAATTTCTTAGCAGGAATCAACTAAATCTCATCAACTCAATACCTCACTCCATTGAAAGAGCCGAATTACTACCAAATACTACTCCATTTTCATTAAATCCATCAAATCCAAACCAAACCCTCCTACTCCAGCTCCAGCACCACCTCCATCACCCTTCCTCTGCTTCGCAAGCGCATCCGCCAGCGAGCCCACCTTCCTCTTCTTCGCCCTAGCTTTACTCCCCTGATTCCCGCCCCTACCCACCTGCTTTTCTCCCCCCCCTCCCACCTCAGCCTTCTTTACCCCACCAGCTTCCTTGCTCTTCCTCCGCTTGACCTTCGGCTTCACAACCTCCGACCGGTTCTCACCTCCACAACTCTGACACTCCCACACCACCACTGTAGTCCTCGACGCCGTGGCTTCCTTTCTCTTCTCCTTGCCGCGCGGGAGGGTACGCACGTGTGCGTTCCAACCAGGTATCAGTATCACACTGCAGGACTTGCATACGCTGGATATTCCGGGTGTGGATTGGGCGGCGGGTGAGGTTGAGAGAAGGGTAGCGGAGAGGGACGGGGCTGTTGGGAGGAGGAGGTGCGAGGCATGGATAATGTAGGATTTTGTTAGGCTAGATGAGGAGGGGCAAGGAGGTGTTTTTGTTGACATTTCGGCGACAGTCAGAGAAGGCGTGAGCGTTCGGAAAGTCAGGTTTGGGATTTTATGCGGGTGTGCGCAGACGCGGGAAGTAATATTTGCTAAGGGTTAGGGGAAGCAGGTTGGTAGTAACCCTATCCCAGACAAACGAAATCATAAGTTAGCATTCGAAACGGAAAAAAAATTATAATACTCGAGTAAATTTACATGTTGAAAATTCTGGTAAACGGTCGGATCAGAGGTTTTACACTATTAGGATAAGAGGTACAAGGAGAGGAGAATAAAGTGATTGTATTGAGTGTTGAGATATTCGCCCGATTGGTCTGATGAAAGTTAAAGAAAGGGAAAGAAGAACAGGAAGGCAAAAGAAACCCTTTCAAGACTGGCGCATTCCACTGCTGCATACTTTTACGTCCTGGTGCAGATATTCCAACAACACAGTTGTTGGCTTCATACCGGCAGAAAGAGTCTTATAGCGATTGTGGCGCCGCTACTAAGAGCACTGGCATCTCGCAAACGATCGAAAACCTCAGCCAAAATACTACTCAGGAACAATATCCGCGGAACACTCCTCTCTGTAGCTATTATTCCCGGGCGGTTCTTGGTACTATTGTTGTCTCATGCAGTGACTGTACCCCCCGCGCATATTGCTCTTCCTGCATTGTTTCCTAGTGGCAAATGCGCAGCCTGGGCATGCCAGTAGATACCTTTCCACTCCACTGATTACTGAAGTCCTCCAACTTATAAGTACTCGTACGCTTTACATACCTACTAGCTCCAAAGACCAGATCCACTCGACTGCAAATACTCCCGAAACACCTCCGGAACCTTGCTCTAATCTACACTTCACATATTAAAGCTACGAATCCTGTTATTATTACTATCGCTGGTATGATACTATGACGACCGCACCAAGTTTCAAGTTGGTGGGCGTTCCGATTAACAGGTGTAAGTTTCCCAAAACTGAAACAATTAGATAAGGAGGAGATTAATATGGAGGCATGGCAATTTTGCGCACGCGCCTTTCTCGTTAATTAGTGGATATATAATATCAGAGGGCTGGGACATGGTGTGTGTGATTGGAGAAGAGAGTCGTTGTTGATGCAGGAAGAAGGGTCCAGGGATCCAGGGTGGGTAGGTGAGAATTGGAGGAGGTGGGTTGTACATATTACTTGTAGCATATCAAGTCATCACAACGATTTCTACAAGTAAATATTTCTACTTGTGAAAACTAAGATTTCATTTGTATTACACTTTCAGAGCGGAGTCCTATCACACTACCAGTCGGAAGTTAGGAGAGGGGAGAGTGTCGGTATTCTGATAATCTAATATATGTAAATTGGCCGGGAATACCCAAAAGACCCAACCGATAGCACATGTTTACTGATTTGGAAGAATTAGTTACAGTCCAACAAACTACAGATTGGAAATTAGTATCATAAACTAAAAGTTTATCTAATTATTCAGCAGTACGATGACTTAAAGAATGGTCCAGTCCCGCCCACTACCAGTATATTTCCAACATGTAAATAGTTGATTTTATAACTTAATTCTTATAATAAATTAAAGCTTAAAAAAAAAAAATACATGACCATGTATGAATTATCCTTCTAACCAACTCTAACATATTATAGTAATTATTCTAATAGTAGCTTGTAGGCTATTAGTACAAACTCTGGACTAAAGATGGATAAAAAGAGTACTTACCTAATTTTTGTCAAACAGGTCCTTGGCTATTTAAGTCCCCTATGGGACCAATGGTCAAATCTAAACCAGGTATATTGTTTATAATATACTGGATCCAATCCAGCACCTAACATGGAGGTACTCAGGGGTATTGTGGTAGAGGAGGAAGAGAGGTGTTGTGTTAAAAATACACCTGTTGCTTTAAAAAGCTAATTCAATATTAATAATTTGACTGATAAATGTATTCACTTGTGAAAAAAACTTACCAATAGTCAGATGTAATAATATCAAGCAAGCAACCACCATGGCTTATTGTAGGGCCAGTAAGCACCTGCCTGCTTGATATCTATAATGTTGTAAGAAAATATAAGGATATACTCATAAATACTCACAGGGGAGTCAGGCTAGACTGTAGTGTACAACCTGACTCCCCTGTGAAGTAATCATCTCTAAACTGCTATAGAGATGCAGTCTTAAGAGATACAATATCTCTTAACTCTATTTAAATCAAGTTGTTATTATATCTTCTTTGCCTAACTTTAATTATTTAAGTAGGAAACTTACCAGATCTCATATTTCAATTCAAATATTTGTCTTTAGAGTATCAGATACTCTAAATACAGAGAAGTTGAGTCTGATCTCATATGTTGAAACAAGTACCTATTTACTCTTTAGTAACCAGTTAAATTACTAGAGTAAAAACTTCATTACCTTAGTAGTACTATTTCTCAATATAAGGGATGAAATCAACAGATAATATTAAGAATATATTATCTGAGCAAGCCTCTATTGAGGAGGTTGCGGTGTATTGAGATGTTGTGAGGTTGATATAACAGCCAACCTCACAATACTGTATCAGGCTATCATGCTGTGAAAAAATTAGATAATGTATTTAAATTTATACAAAACTGTTATAACAGGAGAGATATTTTACCTGATATATTTGAAAGTTCTTGCATGAAAGAACTTTAGTAGTATTGCTGTTAACACTAGTATTGTATACTAGTGCCAGCATTTTTGGTAGATTTTTACCAAAAAACTTTTAAGTTTCTTGTTCTTAGTATTATATCCTGAAAACCAAGGTGCTGGTAATAAGGTGTAATACTTACCTACAGAAGTTTTTAGTAGTCATAAACAATATGTGGATCCTAAATTGATCTCACATAGGATGGGAATTTTATGATCCCAGTAGGCCCCCTCGGAGGAGAAAGAAGGAAGAGAGATTAAACCTGTAACACAGGACAGTGTTACATAATAACAGAATGTAATTATGTTTCTTGTCGTGTCATGGGAAGGAATAGTATGTGTTATAGTGTGGTAAGTGGAGGATAGAGGTGGAGATGGAATATGAATGGAGTGGAAGGATTGAATGACATCTATTTACATTCTGAGAGTGGGAAGGACAAGGCGGCCAAATGTTGCTTCATTTTGGCTGTCTGCCTCTCATACCCTGTCTCTTCGCACTGATGTGAGAGTCATGCGCACTATATTACTGCTTAGGTATCTCCGATAAGGGTACTTATGCGATAATGATCAGGATCACGGAAGTTACGGCAGACCCAGTTGCTTTGATGAGGATACAGGATCGCGGCTAAATTAACTTACTCGCTCATTCTGACTCTTGTGAGCGGAACCTATCTACAAATTCTTTTACTCCGAATCTTCAATATCTCGCTAGCCATTGATGCGACTGAAGTTTATGATCAGTCAAGATGCCAATATATTACTAACCTCGGTCAAAAAACCAATGTACCTAAGGGGACACTAATCCAACAAATGCCTGAGCTCATTTAGTTCAAGGTGTTCATCTCAGTGAGTTATTTCCTATCAGAAGTCGCCCCCTGCCCAACCGGTAACACACCATGGTAGATCCCCAGTCAGCTCCCCCGACTACTCCACCCTCACGCTTTCCCGGACACCCCAAATTATGAGGCAACAAAGAAAGGCACGCGAAGAAATAGCCGAACGATTAGGAGGAATCGGGATCATTATAACATCCCACGTTTCCAACCGGGACTCCAATGGAAGCCATATAAAGGTTGGAACAAAGCACAAAGAAACTCGCGCTCCATCATGCTAGCTAACAAGGCGGAAAGCGCAGGAAAGGATTCTGGAGCTCAAGGCAATCTCGCCCTATCCATCTATCGCGCTCCTCATTGATTCCGATCCCAGGTTCTGTCTCGGCGGCGGTATGCAAGCTCTCCACGTTGCAAGCCATGCTATATAGGGCCAGCAGATACCTCCCCTCCCCCGTGAGTGAAATAGGTGATTCGAGAGTGTTCGGGAAGAGCTCAATATAGTTTTCGAGATTATAGGATCGCTTCGGGACTAAAAAAATTGTCACACCCATCCGGCATCTGTTTATAACAAGCTCCGTGGATCTCACCCACTATACCTCTTCTATACCTCTTCACCAAAAGACCGCTGTTGAACCCCCAATAATTAGTACCGTCCCGCAAGCCAAAGCGCCGCTAAAAAAACTCACAAGAGCGAACATGCGGGGCTAGTAGCGCTACCGGTGACCGAGATCAGGATATCAAGAAATCCACCTCTGCAAGGAGTCGCCCATCCAAAAGGATAAATTCCGGGAAGTTGAGCCTTCATCCCGCCCAACGCTCCGTTCCTGGATTCACTCTTAGGGGAGACAAGCCAGCCCATAGCCGAAGGGGGGAAAGGTTTATTCCAGTAAGCCACCCATTATCAACCAGCCATGACCAAAAACCATCACCATTCACGCAAAAGACCAGCGACAAGGTCCAGAATGAGGGGGCAGGCTAGTTGATAAATCTATCGCCAAATCCTTCGCTTCCCCCACTTTTCTCGAACCACCTTATGCAGCGCTCCAACCGCATCTCCCGTCACTCCGGGGTGACCCCGTCATAGCCTGTCACTCGATCGCGTGTGCAGGTGTCCCTCTCCAGCATGACAGCATGCGATATCAAAGGGAGGTGAAACTAAAGGTTTGGGAAACTCCCTGGCTCATACACACGCTCTTCGCCGCTTCAACGCTAGGGGGATATTTACAATATCCACGAGTCCTCAACCTCACCACATTGACCTCATTATCCATTATTTTGACAGAAGTGATAAACCCTCTCTCTGCAATTTGTAGAAGCAAGTTCAGCGACGCCGGTGTCAAACGGATACTCCGAGGAGCCATCGCGGCATGGTGGAATACACCGTGACTCCGGGAACCTGAAATATAGGGCAGCAGACCGACCAGCCGGCAGTGATATCTAGCAGGATCTTAGAACCGCAGATCTCCACGCAGACATTAATGGAGAGCACATTCCTGCAATAGCTTTCTCCCATCGAAAATTCTACTATTCTATGGTAGTGCGGGAGAGTGAAAGGTAGAGAGAGATTGAGATGGTCCCCATGAGAAATCGGGGTAGCTGTGTGTGTACTGTACTAACCACTATGGGGGAAGGATATTTTTGCTATACCTACCGCCACGGCATTTGATGCCCCCTCCACAAAAAATGTCCAAAATCTCCAGAAGCCGCTATACGCCAAGATTTCCCAGATTGTTGGGTGGGCCAGTAAGGGTATAATTGTCTCAACACTTCTGCGGTAGTCCTACCAACGAACACGGGCTCCCAATCTTCCCAACGACGCTCCGCCAAATGTCGACAAGGTTAGAACTCCTGACCTGCACCCTGGGAACTCCGTATCATATCACAGCTTTTTCGAAATAGGATATATTTCGATAACAAAACCTCCACTAATCAATTCCCTCCCCCCCCCCCGCCACGATGCAGGCCATAGAAGACACCCTAGGATTTCCACCCCAATCGATTCGCCCATCCCCGAGAAAGAAAGAAAGAAAACCCCAAGCAAGAAAATTACATGTTCCCCCATCTGCCAAGCGAGGAGGAAGAAGGAAACACAACACCCCTACCACAACCGCTACAAAACCTTCATGTAATCATTGCACATTCATACATCACTACAATACCCCCAAAACCAAAGATAAATCAAAAACTACCCAACTTATAACCCCACCTTCCACTCCTAGGACAGTCAAGCCCTAAGAAATAACGCACATATACCAAATCTCTAACTCCGTATGATATTTAGTAATTCACATATCCACACTATTCGAATTTCGGCTCAGGAAGGGATGGGCGCGTGGGTGGGGATACTAGTATCAGCCGGCTCACCTTTTTCAGCGACGGGGTCTTTCCCACCCGTGGGTGCAGCAGTTGCGGCGGCGGTGGTGGCGGTCGTGGTGGTGGTGCTGACGGGGAGGGAGGGGATCATGTTTCGATAGGTGTTTTCAGAATAGGCTTTTCCCTATTGTCTGACCGCTTTTCTAGAACTTGTGGGAGTAGTGGCGGCTGTATGGAGGAGGGATAGACGGATTGGTATGGCTAGCTTTTATACCTCCCGGGGGGAGTTCCGGTGAACCACGGAAGTCCCATTCGCAACCGGTAATTGATATGTGAGCCGTACGGGGAGGGCCCCGCCGGTGACAGTACCCGGACTGTTAATCAAAATGACAACATCCAATTTTGTTACCTGCCAGAACTAAAAAAAAAAAAAAAAGAACGCTCGAACGATGGCCAAATCCTGCGTTTGTATTTTTTTTTTAGAAGGGCGGAAGTATAAATGGCGAGATACAATTAGCCTTTCTTTCTGAGCACCTGTGATGCTCGTGGAAATAGAGTTTCTTCCCTGTTTCTACTTAATTCTGCATCATGTAGAAGCGGGTCATAAGTTCGAGTGATATTCCGTGAAAAACGCTCTTGCGAAAAGGTACGAGAGTAGAAATCAAGTATTTCATGTAGTACAGAACATTAACTTCGGACATCGCGCAGCAGCAAGTGCCCACGAAAACCTTATATCGTACCATTTCAACATTCACTTGCGCGATAGATTACCCCCCCACCGAGAAATTTCATTGCCATAAGCTTCAAACACCAATTGCCTGAACGACCAACATGCCCCTAACAAGCAACGGAGATCGACTCCACATTTCACAAACCGCTGGTACGGCGCATAGGACAGAACATCGTAGAAAAAAGGGGGGCATTCACCATCTACAGTTGAATCCAGCTTTGACAGTAACCTGACAGCAACCGGAATGATAAAGATATCGCACGATAGCAGCACATGCCGAATTACACTCCCCCCACCCCACCCCGCGCCTGATATACCCGCCACCCCTAGCACAAACACGTAGAGAGAGAAAAAGCCAAAGATTAAACTTTCCACGTTCCACTCTCGGAGGAAGATCACGGTTAACACATAGAACTAGCTAAACACAAACCTCCTTGACCTTCTCTCGGATCCTCTCAATGACATCCTTTAGAATATCGGTCTCCATCCCCCCACCTTCAGGACTAATCCCCTCGACCGCCTTTCCAACCGACGTGAGAAATTTCTCCTCAACCCTCTCCGCAAACTCCCTCTTCCCAACTCCCAATTTCTCTCTACACACGGGCGAAAGAACAAGAAAGTAGTAAAGATTCGCCGTCGCCACGAGCGTCGGATAGTAATTCTTAAAATCATCAAAATCGCCAATCTCCACCTCCAGGAAAAGCACGTTAAATAGTTCTTCTAGACAAACCGGGGATGCAAAGATTGAGTTTGGTTTTGGTGGTGTTGATAGAGAAGCAGATTGGATTTCGTCCTTAAGAATGCCGACCACCGCAGCCTTGAGCGTTTCGAATGGGCAGTGCTCTAGGGTATCTTTGATGTAGGCTAATCGGGCAGCCTCGTCCGGGTGCTTGCTTATGCACGTTGACACATGATAATGGGCGAGAAAGCGTGCCTGTGGGGAAGAGGAGGTAGCAGAAATAGCAGCGAAGGTTTGGAGGTAAAGTAGGAAGTCGTCTAACTCTGGCGCATTGCCGAGGCCTCCGCCCTGGTGGAGAGCGAGGGCGCCGAGGAAGAGTACTGCATCAACGACAGCGGGCTGGTGCTGACCGGAACCGTTGACGAGAAAGTTCTGGGATATGTCCGAATGGTTGGGGAATATGCTGAGGGACGAGAGGGGATAATGGGCGAGCCGTTGCGCTAAGAGAAATAGAGCCCCCGTTTTAGAAAGAGGTATGTCCTCGGCTGACGAGGGCGGTGCTGGGTCTTCTTGGTCCTCATCAGTGGGTGATTCTGGCTCTGAGACAATTAGCCCTAAAATAGCATGATTATCGGTAGCAATCTAACCCCTACCTTGGTGGCTTTCACAAATCTTCATAAGTTCATCTGCCCTTAGGCCCAACGCCTCACATAGTCCCTCGATATCCTCCGTGAGAGCCTTAACATCCCGTTGCACCGCCCTCTCAGCTCTTTCATCGTCGATTGGGGTCTTCCCGCCGGGAACTTCACTTTTGCCCTTTCTCACAACCTCAGAGTCATACTGTCCTGCCCACCCCACAACCAATCCCCTCCCTGTGATATCCCGGGTGCGTAAAAGGTAGATCTCCAGGAGATGTGACAGGAACGACTGCAAAAGACGGGCCTGGAGAGTAGTTTCCGGAGAATCCCCCTCAGGTTCTTTGGCCGGAGCATCCCCATCGGCGGAGGTCGGCGCAAGGGAGGGGTTTGTACTGTTTGTCGGGACGCGTGGGGGTAACGGAGGTCGCTCGCCCTTGACTATGCTCTGCTTCCGCGGCGCCGCTAGGGCGGGTTTAACGAGCTCGGCAAACTCTAGCAACCCCCTCAAGACCCCGTCAACAGCCTGTCTGTCAAGACATTGTACAGCTTTCGTAAAAACTCCCAACAGAGTTGTCAACTGCGTGGATAAAAACCTCGAGGGAAATTTGGTAAATATTCTCGGGTGAACAATCGACAAGGCGGATAACAAGGCATGGAATTTCCTCAGCGCATTTCGGGTAGTTTCTTTCCTCAACTTGTCTTCAGTCTCCCCTACCTCTCCACCCTCTTCCTCGTCATCATCACCGCCATCATCATCGCCATATTCGTCTTCATCCTCAGCACGGGGTGGTGACCAGTTGATCGCAGATAGCGACTCGACAATCTTGATAAATACCTCCCGGGGATTTCCTTTTTCCGCTGCGAACGCAATATGTGATTCGGTCAACTGAACGGTTGCCGGAGACAGCGATTCGAGGAAGGGCAATAAGACGGAGATCAAATCCCAAGAGATCTCACGAGCTAGATCTTCCTATTCGCCAGCTTCGTTAACATCTACTCCGACCGTCCACGTCAGGAAAAAATTAGCAAACATGGGTCTCTAAAATATCCCCCAAAACCTCCAACAGCCTGTGCTGCTCATCCTGAGAGAAGGCATCGTGGGCGTATGAAAGGTGAACATCGAGAATAGTAGAGTAAGAAATAAAGTCGTCCGCCTCAAGGTTCCCGCATCATGTCAGCTTTTGGGAAAAAATGAGGGATAAAGAAGTGAGTATTACGGGAATCTCCTCAGCAGCCGTCTTTATCGCATTTATCGCTTTGTCGAGTGTCACGATTCTCTCCATTCTGTTCTGCGATGGTTGGAACAAAAAGTTGGCTCAGGGTAAACCAGAACTTTGTTGGTAGGGAAGGGATGTGAGGCTCAAGTCACCAAGAGGGGCCCGGTGACGCAAGATTCTGGTATTTGAAAAAGGTGGATCCTCTAGGAGCGCATGTAACATATCATTCTTGACGGCATAGAAATCACTGTCTGTGCAATAATCTGCATCTGCATTTGGAGACGAAATGGATAGGAGAGAATTGTGTGTTTTTTTAGAGCATCATCAGAACATGTTGTTTGTTGTGTTAAGCTATCATAATATTATTATCGTCACGTGGGGGCCGCTGCTATCTGCTTTTCATTCCTGTTGCTGTAACTGTATGCTGGCGGTGCAACTGAAAGCACCCGAGAAGCGGCAACAAAATTCACCACCTCTCAGAAACCCTGAAAACTTGAGAAAACACGTTCTTGAGCAATTGAAAACTGCGAACCAATCGCTAATTTTGCTAACATTGTAGGCTTCCCACAGTTTTAGGGGCGTCCGAGTCACCGACCTCGCCACCAGCCTCCCTGGGATTTGACAGAGACAAAATGCCAGCGGTTTTGATACAAGACACACAGCACAGCACAACTGCTCGTACAACACCAAGGTAGTCCGGGTCCTGGAGCTTGACTACCGTATGATACTCGAGTACAGAGCGGTTGAACAATGGCAAATGGCATGATTTCCACGTACTGACGCCCGTCTACTGAAGCAACCAAAGACGTAGCGGGTATATACAGTACAGTCTGCCGTACTGTGCGCAATACCGACTGGTGGTGCGTTCAAGAACATGATGCATAGACCCTGAAAGGTACCTCACGGAGTATGTGTTCGAAAAGCCTTTGAAGGAAAAATGGGCGTAGAAAAGCTGGTCCAGAGCTCTTAGAAGACCCCTGCACTCCGCCCCTCGTCACCAAATTCAACTTACGGAAGACTACTTGTAGTATGGTAAAAGTGGAGAGGATAATAACGTATCGCTTCACACGGATGCACGCTGGCACAACATCTTTTTTCAGTAAATCTCGCATTGAAATACCGGGATAGCAGTGTGAGCAGTGAGCAGAGCGCCTTGCTCGGGATCCGCTCGAGATCAAGGAGAAAGGAAAAGTTTTCCACCGGTTGCTGTACTGTACAGTACTCGAGCACTGTGCTCTACGGATACGAGTAAGTCTGCGGTGCTGCACCGGTAATGTACTGTACTTGGAGTTACAGCACTCAATCGCGCCGCACAATTCCCACACCGATGCTTGCGGGAAACGTTGCAGGACAAAACTTTTTTTCTTCGCAGTTTTGGTGATGAATCGGGAATTCCCGTTCCGCCGCTCACCTGGTCAATCGCAATTTGTTGGGATCTTCTATGGAACAACGTGCTTAGAGGTGGGTCTTATGCGAAAGGCCGAATTGGTGAACCCTTCTTTGCCAGCCAACCCACTTAATAATAATATACAAGTATAGTGGGAATTCCATCACATTAACCCAGCTTGAGAGCTTGAGGTTGAGCTTCGCACGCCTCTGGTGAAGTACCGTCGTACCAGGCTAATTTTGCTGGTATCCCGCATTGCGAATATCTGAGCACTTGTTTCACCCTGGTCAAAAGTTTGCACTTTTGCACGGCTAATTTCTCCAGTTGGATGTATCTGCTTGGGAGCAATAAATTAAAAAAAAACGACTCGTCTATTCTACCAAGAAAGGGCTACATCGGGTGGGCCCCATTTTCTCGGGGTCCGTTGTTGTGATTCCCTATGGTACAGTACAAGTATTCAGAGATCAGGTTTTGCCATTTTCTGGGGACCAGTTTGAGACCCATTGCGCTGCCGGTAATGTGAATAAATTTACAAAATTTAATTAGAGCGATGGCGCCCGAGCGCATAAACCAAAGTTAGTCGGAACCCTTTGGCAACCGTGCCCAGGACAACGCCTGGGAAAGCAAGGAATACCCAATGACACAAACTTCTTGCTGTGATGGAGCTTTCTTCCTTATCAAATATTCGCCAAGAGCTCCAACTTCCAACTTCTGACATTCTCTTCTGGGTGGGGCGCTGTCACTCTAGGTACTCGATCGAGTACTCGTATTCAGAGCTGATCCACAACCGGACGGAATCAAGCCCTAGCCACGCCAAAATAGCTGTTGTCCACCAGTCGGTACCGCTTGTGTCCACGGGGTCCTCATAACACCATAGGTATGATGTATGTGGTCGCGTCTTGGCTGTAGCAGTGCGCTGTTGCTGAGTACGTACAGTACTCGTACCATACGTTGTACCGGTCGGTATACTCGAGTACATCGTTGCTGCCAAGGCACCGCCATACTCGAGTATACTCGCCGGTGAAAAAACTGTCCCTGACACTCACTCTCATTTGAGAATATCTAGGAACCGCTGGTGCTGGTACGAGTACCCCCCAATCTCACAGCGGTTAGATATTTGTAGAGTTCAGGGTTCAGGGATACCCAGCTAATTTTGGCTCTGAATTTTTGTGTTCAATACTGTTCGGGGGAGCAGGTTTTAAGCCATTTTCACAGCTCCTCTCTACTACGGTAGTACTCGAGTACCGGTACTGTTATTCTCGAGTATCGATAACAGACAAATCCGACCCAGGTCTCACCATGCTCGAGTAGCACTGGTGACCCGACTTTTAATTGACCAAGATTGCGGCACTGTGCTGGTATTTATGATACATAATCCCTACCAAGAAAGCAAAGCGATCAAGCGGCAATCCTCGGCGTCCCCTCTTGGGAAGATCCTCCAAAAATACTGACGACAGTTGGCAATTCCTCAGCCAGTCTTATTCACAAACATGTCTCCTCCCCTCCTTTTTTTGGCAGGCCACTACCGCCCTTTTTTTCCTTTTTTTCCTTTTTTTTTTTTCCTTTCCCTCTCACTTAATGCCCCCGGAAGGCGTACAAGCAGGCGCGTTTCCAGGTGGCTTGCTGGTTAAAACATTTTTTGTCCGGATTACTCGAGAGAGCGAGTGAAACATCCTGCTCTTGCCTGATGCAGATAGCAAAGCGGGGGAGGAGGAGGAGAAGCAAAAAGATCTGGTAATCATCACGAAAGGTAATGGGCAAGTAATATATCGAATCCTCACTGCCCCATCGAATCCCTTCCCACCCGGATTTCTATTCTTTTTATCCCTCCCTTTCTTTAAATTATTCTTGGAATTGTAAATTGACCCACTCGTGCAGCTTCCGAGGAAGCAGCGACTCTGAGCCAACTGGAGGTGAAGATGCATTCCAACCCGCATATGGACCGCTTCTTTTTGCGCGTGGTTGGTTGTGAGCACCGGACAAGAACACGTCAATGCTCTAATGTACTGTGGGGAGATTACAATACACGGTCCGCCTAAGATATCCTCACACAGCAAATACCAGTCACTGATCCTGTAATTCATTGGCCAGGAATTTGGGGCTCTGGCTTGTGGCATTCAATGATTGAAAGATGGAAAAGCCAGACACGCTTGAAACGCAGCCCGAGTGCCCAATAATGGCATCGTCGACGGTAATAGCGCCGGAAAAAATGGCCCCGGCACTGCAAGCTGAAGTTTCATGAGGCTCCCAAAAAGCATAACGCCTCTCCGCTCAAACAAGTGTTAACCGGCCGATTGGAAGCTCGTCCGGCGATCCAGAAACTGCAGCCTGATCTCCCCCACCCCCCCTCCCCTCGATTCTCACTTCGCGTGGGGCGAGCTGGCTGTGCTAAATAAAAAGCTCCCGCTACCCCCCCTCCCCCTACGAGGTAGTTTCGAGTTTCCTTTACTTATTCACGGCCCATCACCAGCAAGATGACACATTATTGCAGCCCTTGTCGAACTTGGTATACCACCGAACGCGAGTGGAACCTTCATTTTCCCACGACAGACCATGCCCCCAAATTTTTCTGCCAGTCTTGCGAATACACGACATACTACTTCAACCTGAAGGCTCTGGAGCAGCACACGAAGGATGTACACCTCCCGCCGAATTACTGTAGCGAATGCGACCGGTCATTCCTGAACGATTCGTTTCTACAGCAGCATAAGAAGCTTGTTCACGTACCGAACGTATACTGCTCCGAATGCAACCGGTACTTTAAAACCGATGCGGCATTGAGCCAGCACTTGCGGGGGCGGGCACACGCATCGGCTGAGATGGCCCCGCGCGCCGCGGCGTCGAGATTGTACTGTGGGACGTGTGCTCGGAAGTTTGTCAATAAACAGGCGATGACACAACACATGGCATCGCAATCCCACAACAGAGCCGCCCGGAAGTCATCGCGACGATCGAGTCCCACGCCTAGTACGAGCAGCACCCGCCGGCCAACACTGATGGAGCGGGTAGCGACGGCACCATCATCCCTGCAGGTTATGCCGACAAGCCACTCACGGCGGTCGTCGATCGCGTCGATGGACGATGGCGTCTCCCTGACGGCTGCAGACGATAATAACCCTGAAAACCTACCGAAGGAGATGGAGCCTGCGGCTGCTGCGGCGACGAGCGCGAGCGTGCCCTCGCTCAATTTGCCGAGTACGCCCCCGCCGGAGGAGTTCGAGGAGATGGTCAAGACTCCGGTTACTGTGCTACATATCGACATCCCACAGACCCCCGAGGAAACCCAGACCACGACACTTACGCCCGCTACTAGCGTTAGCTCACGCTCTGGGGACGCGGTTGAGGACCCATTCGGCGATAAAATGCCGAGTGAGCCTGCGAGTGTTGCTGTGGTTCGTACTGAGGTTGTGCCTGTCGTTGTAGAGGAGGTGGAGGTACCGAGTGCGCCAAGCACACCGAGCGCAACTAGTGTACCGAAGGAAGCCGGGGAGAAGCATATGGAGAAAGAGGAGCCAATTGCAAGCCAAGAGGTGAAGGATTCACCGACTCTTGAATTTGTCGAGGCACCTGAAGAGCCGGAGGCTGTTGAAGGATCGCCCGTCGTCACAACTCCGGAGGTAATACCGGGCATGAAAGAGGGGGAGGGAATGGAGGTGCAGTTGGAGGAGGGGGTGGTGGAGGAGGAGGTGGAGGAGGTGGAGGAGGTGGAGGAGGTGGAGGAGGTGGAGGAGGAGGCGGAGGCGGAGGCGGGAGTGGAGATAAAGGAGGAGGTGGAGAAGACCGTGGAGAAGGTGGAGAAGGTGGAAGAGAAGGTGGAGGAGGTGGTGGAGGAGGCGGAGGCGGGGGTAGAGGTGGAGGTAGCAGTGGAGGTGGAGGAGGAGCTAGGCGCTGTGCTAGCTGTCCCCAAGGAAGCCACCCCTGAACTTTTAATCGAGCCGGAGGGCATTCGTGTTCGTTCCGAAGAGTCGATTCCTTCAAGCACCGAAGCACACACTCCACCCGAAGAGAAGGTCCAATCTCCCAAGACAACTATCCCTGAGCGGACAATCACCGAAGCCGTCGTTCCCGAGACTATCGCTTTAGAGGCCATCATCCCGGAGACTCCCATTCCAGATGCTACCACTACGAAGGTTCACATCCTACCGACACCCGTTCCAGCCTCTGAGACCACTGAGGAGGAGCCCGTCACCATCACTAAACCTACCATCGCCGAGACAAATGTTGTCGCCGCCGCTCCCGAGCAAACCGTTGCTACCCCCGAGCCAGCCATTCCAGAGGCCACAACTCCATCCAAGTTCGACATCGCCCGCGCCCCTTCACCACCCCCCTCCAAGACTTCCACTCCTCCCTCCACCGCGCCACGGCCAAACACAGATCTAACCTCCTCCGTCTCCTCTATCCCCGCGATAGAAGAACGCCCCCGCGCCCCCCGCACCATCACCCAATCTCTAATCTCCACCCCTGCCCCGACCTCTACCGTCGAGTCGGTAACCGCATCTGCGTCCCGTTCCCCAACTATTTGCCCGCAGTGCCCTCCTACATCCAAGACTTTGTATGAAAATGGTGATGAGCTGAAGGCGCATATTGACTCCGCACACGGCAAGAATGCAAGGGACGGCAAGGATGCTGGGAAGGAGAAGAAGGGGTTGGCGAGGGGATTTGGAAAAATCTGGGGAATGGGCTTGCGGAAATTCAAGTTGCTCGGGTAAGATGTTTCCTTGTTCCCCCCTTTCTTTGAATTGGATTGGTAATCTGGCGAATTGGGGGTTTTATCATTTCGCGTTCAGTTGGTTGAGCATCCTCATTCCTTTTTTATTTCCTTCTATTCTTTTTTATCTCTGTTTTTGCTGTTGCATGCATGTTACTTTGCTGTCGGGAGTTTTCATTTTCTGTTTAGGCTCTTGTCCTTGATTTTTGCGTTGTGTTTTTTCTTCGTGTATGAACCTCACATGTGTTACGGATCATTTAGTTAGTAAGGTAGTTGGTTAGTTTAGTCTGGTCTGGTCTGGGACGGCGCAGGATGGTACGCTATGGGACGGTAGTAGAATGTGGGGTTTGGTGTTGTGTCTGGTTCGTATATTAAAAATAGATACCTTGCCTTTTTTTTTTTTTTTTTAACAAAAGACCCCCTTTGTGGCTCTGTAGGTGATCGCGGATCACCTGGTGCGTACGCTAGTGCGATGGGGTACTGTGATGTGAGGTGCTGGTTTGGGACAATTGGTTCAGTGGTGGTAGGAGTGAGATGATGGGGTTGGACTTGAGATGGGACCGTACTGTGCCACCAGTGTTTGTTGATTCTGGATTTCTGGGAAGTGTTATAGCGAGTGGGCTTGAGAGCTTAGAGGTATGTACGGTAGGGCTGACCAAATAAGCACGAGCACGAGCGGTCACTCACTGTGCAATTAGACATCACAATACCGTACACTAGAAACCTCCTCAAAAACCTATCTCACACCATCTCTCTCCCTCCTATCATACTAAAGATGCCACCAGACAACCCAGGATACTCAAACGGAGTCAGGTCCCAGACCGTGTTTTAATGAGATAGTTATCGTATCATGCTACCCGAAGCGGGTCAAGTCAATGGATAATCTAGAGTATCCCTGCCGTTTTCGGAAACGTCGCTTGCTATCCGCATTAAACCTTGTTTTTACTCCCGGGGATCATTCAATTGCGCTTGTGCGCCTAATAGCCCCTATCGCTTTCCGTATCGTATACAGTGCTAGTACTGTGGCACGATGTTCCTGGAGCGCAGCTATACGATCACGGATAATCACTCGTGGTTATTTTTTGGCCGTGTAGATGTGTGTCGCCAGGCTGTGTCGGACTTCATACCGGAAGCGTCTGGTGGTTCCCCGGTATTATAAAAGTGTGGTCGCGGATCGGGTGTTGTCGGCAGATCGCTGCTAACACAAAGGTGTATCATATATGTGGAGGAGGGAGAGCTGTGTTGGTCGTGGGTGGTTTATGGGGCCGGGGGGTTCGCTGGTTGCTGGTGAAGGGTTGGAACGAGGCCAAGAGCTTGTGGGATTGTGTTATTTGAGTGTCTTAAGGCTACTTTGCTGGCATCATAGGACAAATTTGTGGTATTGATGGCAGCGCGCTGGATGGACGGGGCTTGTGTAACCGGATGCGAAATACCCCTCACCCGGGTACTTTGCCGCTCAGCCTTAGGAAGGTACTCGTGATACTCGTACCTTGTAAATGACTGGAATTGGTTAGAGATCTTGAAAAGGGATTAGGACCAAGAAAGGTCGTTTATTGCATTTTTGTCATTTTCCCCTTCTTTCAATTTTGCTGATTGACTGCAGAAGAACAGTACTGGCGGGAATCTACGCGATTGGGGATTGCCGCTCAAGATAAATTTATGTCTGGCTGCTTTGGTAAAGTTCTCGTACCCCTCTTTGCTCCCCGGGGACAATACCTATTGTCCACGACGGGATTACTCGTAGATACCTTTAGATGACTGTTTTAGGATGTTTTTAGGGACATTGTAAATTTACAAGTACCGCAATTTTCTATGTTCGTGAGAAATGTCTTATATTTTCCGTGCACTCTTTCCCAAATGGAAATTATTGGATGCAATGGTCGTAGAACAGGCTGTTATTCGAGTACGGTACATTATCATCGCCCCGCTTTCTTCAGGCCCGCTTATACCATAGAAAGTTCGTGAACTCCCCCAATACCCTGAAAATCTTTTGAATCATATCTACATTCAACCAAAACCACACAGAATATCATGGCCCAGAGTGCACATGTACAAGTCCAAATAGGCGACGGCAGTACGGGCAGCGGAAACATAACGAACAGTTTCAATAGCAATGTGTACAAGTCCGACGAAGATGCGCAGATTATGCGCTGGCTCTCGCCGCTCGAGCCGACTACGAGACATCAAAGCGTGCGCACCGAGCGATTTGCCGGTGTCGGGTATTGGCTATTGGAAGAAAGCGAGTTTCGGGAGTGGAGGAGTAATGAGGGTGGAGCGGATAAGGCTGTATTGTTTTGCAGCGGAAATCCAGGAGTGGGAAAGACATATCTGAGGTAAATGGCGGGATCCTTAGAAAGAAGCGAATATCGCTGACGGCTAGAAATACTAGTTCCTTGGTGATCGACAGCCTGTGCGATCAGGCGGGGGAGGGGGGTATCGCCGTCGCAGGCCTGTACTGCGACTACCTTTCGCAGCAAGAGCAGACCGCCACCAACGTGATGGGAGCTATTCTGGGACAACTGGCAGGTAGAGGGGACATCCCAAAATATCTACGGGAGGCGTTCCATAAAGCGAAAATGGAGTTTGGTGGGAGAGGGCCGATACTCCCGGATCTGATAGTGATGTTGAAGACCGCTATTGCCTCACTACCCCAAGTTTTCATCTGCATTGACGCGCTTGATGAGTGCTTACCGAGGCATCTTCTGGAACTCCTTAAGTCGCTGAGAGATATTGTTCGGGAGTCCCCTAGGACACAAATATTCCTCACTGGTAGATCTCATGTCAAGGAAGATGTTCAGAGATATTTTACGAAAACAATTGTGATACCCATCAGTCCTAATACAGATGATATTAGGAGTTATCTGGAGAGGAGGTTAGACGAGGATGCCGATCCAGAGGCTATGAATGATGATTTGCGAGCGGATATTATTGGAACTATTTTGGGAAAGATATCTGATATGTAAGAACACTTATCATTCCCACTCTACATTGACCAATACTCACCCATGATTCTGTGTAGATTCCTCCTTGTTTCGCTAAATGTTGACGCAATTTTGGGAGAGGTGACAATTCATCAGAGAAGGAAGAAGCTTGTAGAGATGACCAAGGGCAATGGATTGAGTGATGCCTACGCAGCAACTCTGTCCCGACTGAAGGCGCAAAAGGGAAACAAGTCAATTGTTGGACTAAAGGTCCTGATGTGGGTGTCTCATTCGGAACGGCCATTACGGGCTTCGGAGCTCTGCCATGCGCTGGGGGTAGAGGTGGGATCTACGGATCTGGATGTGGATAACGTTCCTGCATTGCGGACGCTCCTAGCATCTTGTCTGGGTCTTGTCACGGTCGAGTCGTCTTCGTCTTCGCCCACTGTCCGACTAGTGCACTTTACTCTGCAAGAGCATCTCTCAAGCAATCCAACCCTATTCCACAGCCCCCACTCGTCAATCGCGGAGGTCTGTTTGACGTACCTCAATTTTGAATCTGTCCGGAGTCTCTCGCCAACACTTCTCTCTGCTCCCGCAGCATTACCGCTTCTGGAATATGCTTCTCGTTACTGGGGGGAGCACATAAGAAGGGGGATGACGAAAAATGTGAAGGGGCTTGCACTCAGACTTCTGGATAGATTTGATGAACATATATCTGCCCAATTAATGTTATTGCATTCTATTGGATATAGGAGCGCAGGCCCTTATTTTAACGGGATTAAAGGTCCGATCGGATTCACAGGGCTCCACGGAGTAGCATTTCTCGGAATCGTGGGGATAGTTGCTGCTATATTGAAGATGAAGGAATGGGACGTCAATGCAATCGATAGCATGGGTAGTACAGCTCTCATATGGGCAGCGAGAAGAGGGCATTCTGGGGTAGTAAAAATGCTTTTAGAACGAGGGGATGTCAATCCCGACCAGGCAGACACCAAATATGGCCGGACGCCACTCTTGTGGGCCGCTGGAAGCGGGCATCCGGGGGTAGTGAAGATGCTTTTGGAACGAGGGGATGCCAATCCCAACCAGGAGGAATATGGCGTGACGCCACTCTTGTTGGCCGTGGATAACGGGCATTCTGGGGTAGTAAAGATGCTTTTGGAACGAGGGGATGTCAATCCCAACCAGGCGGACACCAAATATGGCCGGACGCCACTCTCATGGGCGGCAGAGAACGGAAATGAGGTGGTAGTAAAGATGCTTTTAGAACGGAAAGATGTGCGCACCGCCACCCCAGATAACGCGAATCAAACGCCATTGTCGAGGGCTCTCTCTAGAGGACATAATCGGGTCGTAGTAATGTTACTTGAACGGGACGGTATGAGTTCTGACACAGCAGATCGTGTTGGCTAGAATCGCCTCCCGGCCTCCGTTGGGGTATGGGGGAGAGCGCGGCAGGTATGCCATTTAGAGGTGATGGTTTCAACGCCGATATCGCAGACGTATGTGGCTAACATGCACTCATATTGGTAGACTCAATAAATTGGAACCAGTATCGGACCTCGAAGACTCCCAATTCCGCAGTTAGCGACATCCCCTCGACTGAGCAGTCCGGACTTTTTCAACCCCCTCCCATTCAACCCCTAAGCTTCTGGCACCTTCTCAGGAAAGCTGACACCCACCCTAGCAACACTAGATCTATTTCTCTCACTTGCGGTCGATCAGTACACCTGTCTTTTATCACTGGCCCTCTCAATTATATTCTTTGCTACGTGAATTATTCGCACTCTATAACTAGTTTCTGAGTAGTGTTAGTAGGCTTTGGTGGGGGTGTTTCTTTTGCCGTTTCGGTTCGCCATCTGCTCTGTATCTGTTTTTGTTCTTTTCCTTTTCCTCACCCTTTCCTTTCTTGGAGCTCCTGTTAGACTTGGTCGATATCATCTCCTTTCTCGTGATTCTTCATTCCTATTATTCGTCAATGTTTGTCTTATATATTTTATACTGGGTGGGGGTGTATAGTACAGCTCACTATAGGCAATGGGTAGGAATAGACACTAAGTTCAGCTTTAGGACCCCATCTTCTATATTCGCAAGCTGTCAGTTTATTTCCTCCCACGAATTTCTCTCAACACCGCGCAGCGATCTCCGTCGGGTTTTCACTTGCAAGCCATCTATCATACTATTATACAATACTGATGCTAGTTCCCCTATATCCCATCGCTTGTGCCAAAATCCATGAAATAAAACCCCACCCTTAGCATTTTTTCTTTTGAATACGCCCGCTTTTAACACTAGTGACTGGGTGCGCAGATGGCTCCGCCCGCTGAGCCTGAGCAAGCCCCCCGGTCTACCCAGGATGATGGGGTCATGGTCCCCAACTCGAAATTTCGGGGGGTTGCCACCGAGTTGCTGTTGTATTGAAATTTTGTAGCTATGGGCTCTCTAGGCGTGCCTTGTTGTATTGGTTTTAGGTTCGCGTAGTGGGTTATCTGTAGCGGGAAATGGCTGCTTTAGCTTGAGAGCGGGGTTAGATTCGAGAGTGGGGAATTTTTCATTGTTCGTTTATCCGAGTTTTTCACCCCCAACCGGTGGCGGTATCCTTGGAGGCGGAGGGAGGGGTGCTGGGGAAGGGCTACAGAAAGAGGATTATATCTTGGTCCTTGACGGAATTCTTATTATCAACGGGATGGCATGCGTGGAGGAACTACTCGTAGGTGATTGATTACGAGACAACGGCGGTTGACGAACCGCTGGCAACAATATCCGCGACGAGCCTAACGGATGCTTTAACCGCACAACCAATCCTCCCAGCCGAGGCATCCAAGAATCCCAGGAAGGCATTCCATTGATCATACAGCAAGTATCTTATAGTTCTAACCACCTGAACAGCCCACAACCCCCAGCGCCCGCTACCAGACAAATAGCGAGCACAAGACACCACCTTCCGCGAAAGGGAAAAAAGAGAAAGATTTGTGTGAGCATCTTTTGATATCAAGCGCAATACCCGACAAATTCTCCGGCAGCCCAGTAAGCCCAGCCATCTCCTCTCCGATCACTTGCCTTTCCTTTTTAGCACCTCCGTTGGATTGAAGGGGTCGGCATGGTAGAGACCTGACATTGCTGCTGATGGGAGTGAAGAAGATGGGATTGTGCGGATGAATCGTTTTCTTCCTAGTTCCACATTTTTTTCTCTTCTAGAGATGGGTGGGTTCGTAAAGGAAGTTCTCGAATAGATTTGGGTGTAGTTGCCGGTAGGAGATAGGTGGGTGGGGATATTGGGCATTGGCCATCCGCCGGGCCGCGGGTTCCGGAGAAAAATGGTCGAGTGATGCTTGGTGTTGGAATATTGTCCCTGGGTTTCGATTTCATACTTACTATTGGTTTCCTATATGATCTTCACGAACTTTCAGTTATACCTTACTTGATGTCTGAAACTGTTATCACCCTGTTGTCTCCGTACTGTTTCCTCTCTATCTCCTTGCAGTGAAAATTTCTCTCTTGTTTCTTTTCTGTTTCCTTGTTGTTTCAAAGGGACAAGACTTTAGTCCCCTTACCGGAGATGAAAATTTTCATCCACACAGGCACTGGACAAGATGTAGATCATCTTGGGATAAAAGGGCCTTGCTATCTACTTAGAAATGATATGCGAATTCTGACCTTTCAATTAAGTGCCTAAGAAAATCTCCTGCTGGTTTTTATCCATCATTCCTCCGTCTATACTTTTCTCTCCTCACGTTACCGAACGACTTATTTTACTTCACTTGGAGGTTCGGGAGATTGTGATACCCGAGCCAAGGTTGTGTTGCTTGGCGCCGCAATCGTTTCCGTTCCATACGAAGTGACCGTTTCTTCTTTGACTATCGAAACAAAAAACGGAGCCGTAGAGCTGTGTTGAAGCCACAAAGTTACGCGGGAGTGGCGCCATAAAGTTAGCCGCGGAAGGCTCGGGAGGGGAGGGGTTGTTGGCACACAAGCCACACAACCTTGGCACGCGTTAACAGAAGGGCATGTTTTTACAATATTCGTGTCCATTGCCGAAAGGAGATGTGTCATTTACACACATGTAGACCAAGCTATCATATTATATGGGTCAGGAAATCTGGTGATAAAACAGGCGAGTATTTTTCCGTGCGCGCTGGCAAGTCTTGCCGACTCGGGAGAGAAAAGAAAAGAACAAACGTCGGAAAAAGCGGTGAGCTAGGTACGAGTGATATCCCATGAACACAGTCGACCAAGGAAAACAGTCCCTACAAAAAGAAAACCCAAATTACCGAACAAAAATCTACTATACATAATTACTCCCACCTTCGGCACCAATAACACCTCCCAGTCCCAGACATATCATACCGGTACTCCACCCCGACAAAAGTGGCTGTGTTCCGGCCACGCGTGTTCCGCGGTCATATCAAAGCCCGCAACCGCAGATTCCCCTAGCGTCAAATTACTCACGGGCCAGAAATGGTAATAAACAAGCGAGCATCATCGCGGAGGGGAGGAGGGGGGAATGAATAACCTCGAGATGCTCATCTTTCTCACAAGTTTTCCTTTTTTTTTTTTTTTTTTCACCCGCCACCAATTTTCCCGTTTGTTCTTGTATCATAGTCAGGGTGTGTACTATATGGAGGACAGTCGTGTGACGCCATCTTCTTCTTCTCAAGGTAATAATAAAAAAAAGGGGGGGGGGAACCGGTGACCAGTGGAACGGGATCCCAACAATATTAATACCTGACCACCCGGGTATCATACACGTCTACTATGCGTCGGCTTCTTTTTTGTTGAAACATACGATGGCTGTTTCAGTGTCCTCATCACCTTCCGGTATCATATTTGGAAAACAAAACTGCACATCATACCTGGCATCATAGATTTGGATACCATAGCGCAAAAAAAAAACGGATTTTTAGAGGTGGAACGATTGGTCGGTTGGTATCATAGTACACGAGATTTATATTAGGTGGTGTTTGAAGCTTAGGGAGTGTGGGCGGATCTCAATTTTTTTTTCATGTCATTTTTTTCTCCTTCATAATATTTCTATGATTTTTTCTCCCACACACTCTCTATAGTCTCGTGCTTTGTCTTTATTTTCCGTAGGTCTTGTAACACAGCGTTTCTTTGCTCGTTAGATCATATCAATCTCTACTCTTTCTTTTGTCTCTCTCTTGTTGCTCCTGAGTAGAAGTGAATACGCCGATATTCTCACCTTCGCCTTATATACTCTACACTTTTGTCACTATTAGAATTGGGGGGGGGTGAATGATATTATGCGTATATAAGGACTGGTTTTTGGGAAGGAAGGCAGGAAGGAGAGAATACAATATGCGTTTAAAATGTCTTGGCTTGGTTTATAATGTAAACATTGGGCTCGTTGGTCAGACATCAGTTGTATTGTTGTACAGTGTAGGGTATAAGTACAGTAGAACAACACAAGGATGGAGAACCTGTTAGGATAATACGCTCACAATCTCATAACCTAGAAGGGCTTCTGTTGTTGTACCCCCCCACCCTCGGTTTCCGGCATTCGATATTAGGTATTGGCCGGTAGCATCGACATCTAAGCACTGTTAGTCGAGGGCTGGAGCTTTTGTGATGAGAGCGGAATAAATACATAATGATGAAATAACACCTCCGTGGTGACCCGGGATAATATAGAACGGTAGAGTCGAGTGCCTCGATGCATCCTCACTAAGGTCGTATAATCGTAGGTTGTCGAATGATGCGCTGTAAAGGCAGGGACAGACATAGTTAGCCTAGGAACTTTTGGGGGAAAAGGAAAATCTGGCGCGAACCAAATTAAATGCCTTCCGTTCGGCAAAGGGGCCAGTGCAGATACTGGACCACTTCCCAATGGGAACTTCATTATCCTCGTTGTTTCCCCGATCCCTTTATGGGCGCTGAATTCTTCAACTGTGCCGTTTCGTCGTCCCGCATAGATAAAGTTCCCGTCCCTGCTCCAGCAAGAGTCCATGCACCAAGGTGGAACTCCTGTGGAGGGAGTGCTGACTGCTATAGGGTTGGGCTTTCTGATGTCCCATATACGAAGGGTGCCATCCATGGAAGATGCTAGGAACACATTCTTGTCGGTCGAGGATGGTGGCCAGTCAGTCGATGCGGGTGGAAGGAAGTCATTAGAAGTCCCAAGACTGCCGTTAGCGGAACCATTTCTGGTTCCGGATGTCTCATCGGTGTGTATTCTAGTGACACCGTTGGTCATGATCGTATCACCATTGTTGGTTCTTTGGTCCTCCCTAAAATTCTCTGGGGGGGGCGGATCACTGCAGACCCCGTTTGTAATAGCTCTACTCATCTCATCCTCTTCCCCTCCCATTTCCGTATCGTCGTCATCATCACCGAAGAGGCTGCCAAAACTTCTCATGCTCTCCGTGGGACTTCCGGGGGCATCCTCGTCATCATCATCACCGAAGAGGCTGCCAAAACTTCTCATGCTCTCCCTGGGACTTCCGGGGGCATCTTCGTCTCCATATCCATTACTCGTGCAGGTACCATTGGATAAACCCTTGTCTCCAGCTCGAGATACACCGTTGATCAAAGGAGTGTTCCTGATCTCTTGAGATTCGGTGGATATTGGCCGGAAGGCTATACTTGATATCTGGCCTGAGGAAGAGGGAAATTCTCGGCGGGATTGACCAGTATTTAGATCCCAGTCGTAGATTGCTCCGTCCCAACCTCCAGAAAGAACAGACTTCTCATCGCTGGCAAGTGTAAGCACGCTGACAGCCGAGTTGTGTTTCCGGAGTGTGGTTATAATTTTTCCTTCGTCGTGTCGAACCGATTGGAGGTTTATGCCGCCACTCTAATAAGCTAGGTGTTAGTCACAGAACTTCCAGTCTTTGCGAGAGGGAAAAAACCTTAAGTCCACTGAGCAGCCATAGGCTCTGATTTTGAACAGCCAGACTGTAGACTGGGCTTAATTCTAGGTCGCCGGTTGTTTCCGGCACATAAAGGGCATGGGGCTTGCCGGGAACTACTGATCACTTTAGCATATTGGTGAAGCTGGGCACGAATAGGACCCTACCTATTGGTTCCTCGTTTCCCCAATAAGACAACAGAACTCCAGCTCTTGTTGCACTGTCAGTGAATTGGTGACGCTGTGCAACTGTCAAGGGCACTTTGCCATTAATGCTCCCAAACCAGTCGAATCGCCTAATATAGCCATCACTACCGCCGGTAAACACCCAACGCATACAAGGCGTAGCGCAAAAGGCATTTATGCTCGTAGACTGAGGAGCTGCGACATAGGGTGTGATCTCGTAGGTGGTTGCATTCTTCGCTTCGGGTCTGAGAATGGGTAGTGGGCGAAGCGGGGGCTGGCCTGTAGACCCGGAGCGGGTGTGTGGCTGTGAATCTGGTCGCTCAGTTGGTATGGCTTCGGGTTGAGGTTGAGTGGGAGTCAGTCTGGGAGAGCACATACCATCGCCGTCACCGTCACCTTCACCACCTCTGCCTTCATTCTCGGTCCCATCCTCATAGCCGTCTTCTTGACAGTCCTCCCCACTGTCCCACTCCGTGTCCTCATCATCATATCTTGCGTCGTCCGAGTCGTCGTATTCCAGTTCCGGGTCTTCCATAATCTCATCTTGCTGGTTGTTCCAAGATTCGATCACCTGGGACTTTAGCATTGCGCTTTGTAAAAGAGTGTCGGTGTGTCAATGGATGTTTGTCCAGTGCTTTCGTTTTGTGGTATCTAAACAGTGAAGTCGGGCGAACGGTAGGAATGGCGGTTGATGTAGAGTTCATGGCAGCTCAGAGGGGGGGGTATTTATGGTATTGCCATTTTCCATACCAGTATTTGGACACGTTTCCCGTTCACCATCTTAAATGAACGAGGTGTCCATCTCCCCGACCCTACGGCTGTTTCGCTCTCTGTCCGGGGAAGGGCCGGGTACAAGTACAAGAAAAATTTTCCTGTTTGTAAGGTTTTGTCATATGTGGTGAAAAGTTTTCGCTCATTCAGGTGTTTGGCATACAAACTTTCATTCCCTCCCTGATTGAGTTTCACATGCCTTCCTAGAGCCCAGATCTTCGTGGCATCTGGTTGGGGCCCATTCCCAGTATTATAGGCGCGGGGAAAAATAAAGGGCAAATTTGCAGAGGGGATATCGGATGAACAAGTTTCTTTTTTCTAGAAGTTACGAATGCCCCCAAGGTGAGAAAAAAGTGTCCCAACCGATTTTTTTTCCATGACAAGTATGATATTATATCACAAGTGGTCTGCTAGCTATGATATAGGAGCGTTGGGCACGAGGAAGGAATAACCGCAACAAGATCTAAATTGTTCGTGAAAATCCGACATCTTAGTAAGCATATTAAATTTTAATGATAATTACGACCCTACTTATCCGCCATCGTGATTCCAAAACGGCCGAAAAATTGCTTGGGGGGAGGAGAGCTTCCCTCCTACGAGGAGCTGTTTCTTTGGAATTTTTTCAAGAAATTGTCATTTTCCATGGCAAAACAGAGTTGGTGTTATAGAGTAAAAAGAGTGGTATCGTGAAACACGAAAAAAAAAAATATGGTACTAGATTTTGCTTTGCTTTTTATTATTATATTATAATATTATGATTATTTTCTAACATCAGATTTGTAGGTTTTCAGGCTCTTCGGAAGGGTTTTATTTATTTTATTGATTCCGTCGATATCATACCTGTCCCGTGGGCAGTCTCCGGCTGTCCCTTCTACTCGGTAAGATACGCTCTTCTTCATCTTCGAAAACTGCATACTGTAATACTGTTTTCACTCAAGGTGCTGCTGACTGAGCCGCTTCAACAACACCTTATGCCTTTGAAAGGGACAGCGCGTTGGGGTGTGTTTAAGTCTGACATCCGCCGAAATCAGAACCGTTGTAATCCTTGATTGAGTGAGTGATATCCCATGATCACAGTGGGAGGGGAAAAACGTCCGGCGACATCTGTCAACTTATTCCTATAGTGTTGCTCACCTGAAGTGAGAGACCTGCAGTACCTTTACTTTGCCTTTTGCTACTACTTATATATCCACGATTTAGCACTTATCTGACTTATTGAAAGAAATATTGTTGTTGCTGGGCTTTTCAAGGGCGTCTGTAGAAAGGATGGAGGAGGGGTCGTGATTGCAGTGGAAATTCCAGTGGTTAACTTAGGCTGTGATAGCAGGCCAGAAAGCAGACTCGAGGGCTACGATACCAAGCCTTGTATCATGGTGGGATGTCGATTGACTTCCACTTGTACTGAACACACTCTGCATCAAATACTTTCACGAGACCTCCTGGGTCCCTGATATCATATCAACCTGATTCTGAGAAGCAAACAAAAAAAGAGGATAGAAAAAAAACAAGTGGAAGTCGTAATATGTGGCTTTCTCCTACATTTTCTATTTTCATACATACCCAGATAAATTCTGGTTCAATCACCTAACTCCTGCTCATGGAAGCTATGCTCTATCCACTCCTACGGAATTCCCTTACCAGAGTTGCGGATGTTGAGTGGAGGAATGCGTGGCTGCAAGGAAGATGTGGAGTGGGAGTGTTTTTAAGAAGGATTGAACTTAGTTGTATTGCTCAGGCGGTTACCTGCTGGCTAAGTACAAGTGGTAACCATTGTGCGCACCATGATCTAACCCTATATCCATAACTATCTAAACCCTAATACTACCGGAACACATCCCACAACTCAGGTCGTTGCCCGTACATAGTAACAACACTCAACACTCCCCCTACAGGCATCACCGTCCACTGATATCTAAGTAAAAATAGAAGTAAAAAAGTAAACACAGACGAGAAAGGTAAAAGCGTGAAACAGGAAACTAAACTAAACTAGACTAGACTAGACATACGAACAAACTCAACATGCTTTACCAAAATAAGAGATTTTGTCAATCCATCCGCGATCATATCATTGGTTCCCACGTACTCCATAGTAACGTCCTTTCCATCCTCAATAAGCTCTCTCATCTGACAGACGTGTACCCCGATATGTTTGCTGTGAGGTTTATACGTTGTGTCTTTGAACATAGAAAGCGATGCTTGGTTATCGTTGAAGAGCATACTGACTGGGAGGTCCTTTCCCGTGATTTCCACAACCAATCGTCGAAACCATACTAGCTCCTGTATAGCAGATGTGCTTGCGATGAACTCTGCATCGGCGGTGCTGGTGGCGGTTATTGATTGACATTTTGAGTGCCACTGAATTATACCGGAGCCGAGAAGAAACGCATATCCAGATGTAGACTTGAACGAGTCCACGTCTCCTGCGAAGTCTGAATTGACGTAGCCTTCGAGTGACAGCTCACGATCCGTTTCTCCCCCCAGACTGAGCATGAGTCTGAGATGTTTCATTCCTGCCAAGTAGTGTAGAACCCGTTTAGCACAAACCCAGTGCTGTTCCGTAGGCTCTGCATTAAACCTTCCAAGGTATGAGACTGCGAACGCAATGTCGGGTCTCATGCCAGTCGCAATCTATCCCAGACTGCCAATCAACTGTAGATAAAGCATCTTATCACAGAGGATGTTGCCTTCGTGTCGCAATCCAGATTTCGCCTTTTCCATAGGTGTACGAACTGGTTTGCTTCCAGCCATACCGAATCGTTCCAACACTCTCTCAATGTAACCCTCCTGTGTAAGGGAAATCGAGCGTGTCTCTTCCTCTCTAGCCAGGACCATCGCCAGAAAGTGACCAACTGTACCGAGATCCACCATCTCGAACCGTGCCTTCAGCTTCTTACAAACGGAGACCACATTGAGAGCAGTCCCTGCGATAAGCATGTCGTCGACGTAGAGGGCCAGTATTGTACTGTCCTCGTGCGTGTAGATGCAACAGTCGAATCTTCCCCGACGGAAGCCCAATTTGTTGAGAAGGAAGGAATCGATCGTCGTGTACCAGCAGCGGGGTGATTGCTTGAGCCCATAGAGACTCCGATTTAGGCGTGCAAGGCGTGCCCCAAATGCACCGTCCGGTAACATTATGTAGATTTCCTCCTTGAGTGCGCTTTCCAAAAATGCTGTCACGACATCTATCTGTTGTATAATGAATTCTTTCTTGGCCGCGATCGATAGGACAATTCTTACACTGGCCAGGCTTGCTACAGGTGTGAAGGTGTCTGTGAAGTCGAGTCCCTCAACCTGACGGAATCCCTGAGCTACCAATCTTACCTTGAACCGGACCGTCTCGCCGGATGGATCGAGTTTGCGTTGTAAGATGAGCTTCGTCAGAATTGCCTTCTTATCCTCTGGGATCTCCTCAACTGCCTTTAGTACCTTGTTCCTTTCCAAAGAGGCGTACTCGGAGTCGATGGCCTTCTGCCACTCCTTTCCATCTTCAGATTCCATTGCTGCTTTGTAACTTCACGGTCCAGCTTCCACCATATAGACCACGGATGCCATCGGGCTGCTCGATCCCGCAGAAGATGACACATTCCCACTGCGAGCCCGGTGGCCTGTTTCTTCGATTGCTGGAAGCTCGCCTTTTCTTGCATCCCTGAAGGCACTTTCCCCATCGGATTCCAATTCTCGCAGCATCTTGGGTCTCTTATCCATGGGTCTGGCTTCTGGTTCTAGGTCTGGCTCTTCATGTTCTTCCTCCTCTTCACTTTTGTATCTGAGGATCTTCTTGACTTCCTCAGCCGCCACGCCTTTGTCCTCCTCATCGAACTCGTCACTCCAAGCCAGCTGTTCTTCCTACGGCTCGACAGCCGGAGCGTAAAAGCATACAGGCACCTCGCCTTTAGCTGTCTGAAAGCTGAAGTAGGACATAGATTCCTCGAATTGAACGTCATAGGAGATGACGAAGCGTTTTCGTTGTGGGTCATAGAGGCGATACTGGGAGGTAGTTTCCGTATACCCAATGAATATGTATTTCTTCGCCGTCTTGTCGAGCTTCTTTCTAGTCTCCTTGGGCACTTGTGCGTAGCAAATGCATCCCCAAACCCGGAAGTGCTCATAACCTGGTTTCCTTTCATATCATAACTCGAACGGTGTACTCCCGGGACCAATTGCATGGGTGGGAAGACGGTTTCAAATGTAGATTGCTGTCATAGCGGCCTCAGCCCAGTACAGCTTGGGTGCGTTAACAGCGTATAGTAAGGCTCTGGTTGTTCCTATCACTGTATGGTTCGCCCCCTCACTGACACCATTAGACTGTGGGGTGTATGGAGTCATTCTCTGCATCTCAATTCCTTCCTGTTGAAGTAGATGACAGAACTCGTTTGATGTGTATTCGCCTCCCCTGTCTGTACGGAGTTTACAAATTGATCTTCCTTGTTGCTTCTCGACGAGTGCTTTGTATTCCTTAAAACAGGCGAAAGCTTCGGACTTCTTCTTCAGAAGGTAACCTATTTTATATCTTGTAAAGTCACCTATAAACATCAGTAAATAGCTGAATCCTCCGAGAGATTTGGGTTCAATTGGTCCAGCGATGTCACTGTGGATCAATTCCAAAGGTTGTGTTGCTCGTGATGTTGCAGGGACGAGAGGGAAAGGTTTGCGGGCTATTTTCCCATAGATGCAACTGGCACAAACACAGCGGGCCACGCGGCGTAGTCTTGGGATCTCATTTTCCTCCATAGAAAGACATCTAACCGCGTCCATTCCCAGGTA